CATCAAATGACCCTGGATCAGCCTGCTAAAGAAGGATTTGGACCCAGATCTCCCTAGCTTAAGCCCATCCTGAGTCTCAAGAGAATAGGAAGTGGGAAACAAACAAACAAACCTGTATATCCACAGAAAATGAAATATCATATTCAACATATCTGAAGTAATGCTAAATAACAAAATCTATAGATACAAAAGGGATGCAGATTGAAGCTACAAACAGTTACTTTTTAACATTGCCTTTAATGCTAAATGAAACGGAAAACCTGAGATTCATTTGAAAGCATATGCTTACTTATTTAATGTCTCAGCAACTCAGCCTATAGAATATACTCACATCCTGGGAGTATTCAACCACACTTTGCAAGATCTTCTTCAGGTTGCTCACCTGGGGAAAAATGGGCAAAGATGACAATATTTGTGTAGATTTCCTCGAGTATTCCTGTTTTCATTTTCAAGAAGCCATTAAATGGAATCCAATATCCCTAATAATGAGATAGGCAATCATGCTACTTTACAAGCTTCAATGCTATCTTGATAGGAAGAAGAGTTGTGATGATCTAGTGGGTAAGAGAGCATGATACAAGCCAGGTCAATTGCCACTGCTTGCTGAAGATGGCTCACTGCTAAATGCCACCTTCATTTTCAATCTAGACAGCTGATTCTGTTTGGAGTGCAAATTTTGGCTGTCTATTTCATGTATTCCTTCAAAAAGTACCTCGGAATTTTGTGGAGCTAAAGTGATGAGTCAAGGTAATGAAGCTGACATTTTTTGCTAAGATCTCAATCACTATTGGCACAAATAAGGGAGCAGTTTTATTTATTAATTCAGCAGATGCAGGTTCTCTTAAAAGATTATAAACACAGATTTCTTCTTGTTATAATCAGATTCAAGGTACATGTCTTGAACTGGCAGTATTGAGAGTATGGAAAAGTAAATAGCACTATCCAATATATACAGCAACCTAGTAACTTGAATTCCACGTTTAGGATAATTAGACTCAAGAATCCTGTGCCTTTTAGAACTAGCTCCTCTTTTGTATCTCAAATGTGTTATGAAGCCAGTATATAACTGGTTTAGAACACTGAAACCTCCAAATTTGTAACTGCCTCTGCCTGCTGTTGAATTTTCTTCTTAAGTTCTCATTTCTGCTTCTGAGTTTGAGGCCTCCCAACTAGCAGTCAAACACACAGGTAATCGCTGTTCCTTTCTTCTAAATGCAGACTGGGCCTTAAAAAAAGATGGATTATGATCTTTCTACAGTACCTTCCACTCTTCTGGCCCCAGTGAATTTCTTCCTTGGCTCCACTTTCTATAAGGCTGAAGCTGTATTGCATGATCATACTATCAACTCATTTCTGGAAACCTCATTGCCATGTTAATGATCTTTAAATAAAAGTTTCTTTTCTATTTACCCCCCTTCCCATTTCTCTATGAGCATTTAAGACATTGGACTTCATTCATTTAACAATCCAAATTATGTGCGTTTGGCTCTCTGTATTTGAAGATTAACAATGCTGACTTGAAACTTGCTTTACCAGGCAGAAGTATACCACAGCAAGATAAAGCCAGGATTGAATAATGGTTAATTTCCTTGTTATATATTTATTGTAAACTTCTTTATTAGTCATGTTCAAGAATTGAAGAGTGTACTGAACACTGAGAAATAGTCTATCAAAACAGTTAGAAATACAAACACCAAAGAAGAGAGGTAAGAATATCTGAGACAAAATGCTTTTGGGACATCAATTCACTGAATCACAATATATACCTTCAGTCTCCAATTGTCACCAGTGTCATCTTTAATCCGAAGGAGCCATGTTTCATTGAACCAAGATGGATCTCTGGGAAAGAAAAATGCAAAGTTGTTTGTGTTTATACGAGATAGGAAATAAACGGACTTCTGGTTTGAGCTTCTTCGGCGACAGACCGAAACTGCGACTGCATGGTTTCGATCTGTGCTCGCCGCTGGAGTGCCCCGAGCTGGCTGGTTTCGGGGCTAAGCCACTCCGTAGAGGTGAAGAAGGGGGAGACTGCCTGCAGGGTTGAGGAGAGCCGCATCTCTCCTCCTCAGCTGGCCATTACTCCCTTTCCAGAAGGCGGTTGCAGCGGTGGTCAGAAATGGCCACCACAAAGAAGAACTCAACCGGAAAAGAATGTGCAGGAGGAAGATAAGAAGAGAAAGTTTTGGTTGACCGGGTCAAACAGCAAAAGCAACAAATAAGGTACCCTGGAATTTAAACTATTAAAAAAAAAAATAACACTGTTCCCAAAGAAGATTTCTGAGCAGCGAAGGAGAGAGAAAAGGGAAAGGATTTGGTTTTTTTTCTCCTCTTCCTATACTGACAGCTAAGAGACTTAAGCAAGGAATTGGAAAAAAAATCCACTTTGACATTAATAGGCATTTAATGCTGAAAATAAAAAGTCAAAGGGATAATAAAGATTTCTGGATAATTAAAAGCTTTTGAAAACAGGAAAGGAGAGAAAAAGAATAAAAGGGCAGGATCTGGAAGGGAGGAGACTGCCTGGTATTAAAAAGAACTTACAGTAAAATCTCAACAAGAGTTTCAAAAGATACATCTTAACTGAAACATCGCAACAAAATAGTAAAACCCCAGGAAGAGAAAGTGAAAAAAGAAATAAGAAGAAACAGCTTGGGACTATTTGGATTATTTGGTGATCTCTGGATTCTTGGTTACTGCATTTGAATGACTAAAATCAATTGGGTGGTTGTTTAAAACTGTTTAAAATGGCTCCACTTTTAGAAAAATTGAAAATGGAACTTAAAAAGTACAAAGAAGGTGCACAAGAAGGGAGAGGTTCTTTTGGCTTCGTATTTCAGTTCTTGGAAATGGAGATTTGGAACTATGAGAAACAACAAATGCCTGCAGAACAAGAAGATTGGGACAAAGAAGAAGCCATCTTTAATGAACAAGTAATCTTAGGTGGGGGAAAAAAGGAAAGGGGGGAAAGAGAATGGAAAGTTTAAGATTGGGAAAAACAACCCCAAAAAAGAATAGACTGAAAAATAATTATAAAATCAGAAAGTGACAGAAGAGGAAAATGCAGAAGAGAGAATTAGAAGTAGAGAGACAAGGGGGTAAAAAGGGGAGGGAGAAGAAGAGAGGGAAGAAAGGAAAAGAAGTTATAAAGGACAGAAACAAAATATAGAGAAACAGGGCCTATTTAGAGATAATGGGTGAAAATCTAATTGAAAAAGGGATTCTGCAAAGGTATATAAGACAGTATTGTTATATTAGAAATAGAAATAATTTCAGAAAATATGAAACAATGTATGATTAAAATGTTTGATAAAATAGTTATTGTAACTTAGTGGAATGCTTGTCAATAAATAAATGTAACAAAATGAATATTTAATGATTTACAAAACATATGTGAAGAGAAATAAGGGAAAAATTAAGTATGGAGATTATACGTGTCTTTAAGGAAGTATGATATTTAATTGAAAAGAAATGTTAAAGATGTTAAGACTTTAATGAATATTAATGATAGAACTGAATTGGAATGGAATGAGGATTTTAATTACATATATTTACAATCCTTTTTTAAAGAATATAGTGTGTATTATAAGAATGTACCAAGCAGAATTCGATTGGAAGTTATGTATTATGCATTATATTGAATGTCATAACCTTAAGGTATATATTGAAGTTTAAATAAGAGTTGAATGGATAAAATTAAAAGATATAAAGGTGTCATACTCCAATTAGTTACTACAGGAGAAAATTTGTTTAATGAGAAAAGATAATATGAAATTGAAACAGAACAGACAAAAGTATAAATATAATGATTTGAATTGAGATGAGATAATCAAAATAAAATTGAGAAAATTAAAAGAGGGGAAAAACTATATAGAAAATGCAGAATAGTAATAAGATATGGAATAGAACACAAAAATGAGCATGAAATTGAGCTTGTGTCTGTATAAAGAAGTGCAACCCGGGACCATGCTATTTTCAAAAAAGATGTTTTACTTGTATTTTGTGTGTGTGAAAACCCAAATAAAACTTTTAAAAAACTTTTTTAAAAAAGGAAATAAACTTTTTACAGCAGATCACAAATATTCAGTAATCTAGAAGCAATAGAAAATCCAGATGACAGGTTTTATAGTAGTTACTTAGACATATGCTCTGCCTGCTTTTCACCCCTAAAACAAGACATTTTTCTCATTATCCCATCATGACAAAGAAGATAATTACCATGGGAACTTTTGTTTTCCAAGCTGTTGACTTTACTGATCTGATCTAACCTAGCAGTAAACTATCCAGCTATAAATTGTGCAAAAGGAAATATGTATTGAGAGTGTTTAATTTTTTTGGAAGACTTAGTTGCAAGTATCTTAGCTGACTCCTTTATATCAATATGGAAAAATGGGTTGGAACAGAAGATGCATTATTATGACTTCTCATATACAAATAATAATGGAGTATGTCTTGGCTAGGAAAAATCTCAAGTCAACTAATTCTGAATTTGAAATGTAGCAACCAAATTATAAATCATAATTTGCTACTGTATTTGTATCTGATAATTATATGAATATTCCAAAGAACTATGACGCTCTTATACTATAATGCCTGGCAAAGTGTGATTCTCAAAGGGAGATTCCAGAACATTACAGATAATGAACACCTTTGACACTCTAATACAATAGTCCAGAGGCTTCTTTACTATCAATTCTAAAATAGGTGGATCATTTATCACACCTTCATTAGCTCAATACCTAGGTCATACTGCTTCTTTTTAATCACAATTATCTTTTACTTAATCAGAGAGATGTATTCTTAAATCATCAAAGTTTAACAAATAACATTTGACTAGATTTGCCCTGCTCTACATTTAGTAACAGATCTGTTATTGTTTACACATTTAGTAAATAATCTGTTCATCTGGTTTATCTATTTCTAGCTATATTTACAAAGGCTTTTTCCCCACTGAAATGAGTTTAAAATATCAGGGTTTAAAGTGATTTATCTTTATTAAGAAAGCTATACCTTACTAGCCATGTTCAATTTATCTTTTTATTTCAGTTTGATTTTATCTTTTATCATATTTTTTTTCTATATTATATACACAGTGCACTTCAGCGTATAGTCATGTTGGCCACATGATCACAGCAGTGTTTTCAGACAAAGTTGGCTCCCTCAGCTAAGAAATGGAGATGAACACCGCCCCCTAGAGTTGGACATGACTGGACAGGGAAACCTTTATTTATGTTTCTTAAGGCTAGTCAATAATCAAAATATTTTGATATTGGCATTCAGAACTCTCATTGAGTGCTTTCATGTTAGCAGTTTGAAGACATAGGAACAGAGAATAGACATTGAGGGGCTAGTTGAGGATTTCCTGTTAGACTTCCCCATCATTCGTTTTGTGAGAATCGCTTTAAGACACTTCCCTCTTCCACTAGGTTCTTCAAGAAACTCACATCTTGTGTAGCACCTGGACAATTGTGACTCCACTGGTCAAATCTTCCATCTTGATACATGGTGATGGAACATGGAAAGTTTGCATCTGGAAAAAATAAAATCACTTGTTAAGTGTAGACAAAAGGCAATTTCCTCTATTTAGACTGAGTGTCAAACTCAGTCATGTCACGTGATGTATCGTGACAGTTTTTGCCTTTGCAGAGCCGGAATGTGTGTGGCCTGTGCATGACACAACCGGCCCATGGACTGCCAGTTTGACAGGCCTGGTCTATTATGAAACATAAACCAAACTTAGATTATAAATCATCCTCAAGTGGCCCAACTTGATTCTATTAGATATGGTGACAATAGAAAATATTTTGTCACTTTCTTATAATTTCCATTTTATAAGGAGATACAAAGGGAAAGAACTCTGTTATTACACATAATGTTACTTTTGATCAAGTAAAATTGTATGCAGCATCCTTTCCACATCTGGGTGCTTTTCAGATGTGTACACTTCAGTGACAGGAATTCTCAGCCTAGGACAGCAGAGATAGTCTGGTTGGAGAAAACTGCTATGGAGAAATTGATGTACTTAGGACCAATGATCTGCTTAAGACCAATATAAAATCGTTACATTTTCTCAAATCCCTTTACAGATCTTAAAAGCTATGCCTAGAGATCAACAGGTAGCAAGACAACAGTATCCCATTATGCAATGAGCAAGATGCAACTATTCTCACATCTCAGCATATCAGTTTTATATATCCCCACTTTTTCAATATTTCACCTTATTTAGACTGTATCAGTGTTTCTTAACACATTTGCTTTCAGAATTCCTTCCCACTTTTAAAAATTATGAATCATTCCAAGACTGCTTTGCTCATATGGGTTACATTTTTCAATATTTCGCATACTGCATTAATTTTTTATTGGAATTTAAAACATTTTATTAGATTATAGAATAAAACACAAAAATACAAAAGCAAATAGTAAGACATAGTGGGGAGAAGGAGAAAGAAAAGTGAGGAGGGGAGGGAGAAAAGGGGGAAAGAAGGGTTGATTTCCGACTCTGTTGCAGTAGAACAGAGCTGTCAAACTCCCGGCCCACGGGCCTGATGCGTCACACACTGACCACACCCACGCCTGGTTTAGCGAAGGGGGGAAAAGTCCCCATATGTCACGTGATGTCACCGTGATATGAGTTTGACACCCCTGCAGTAGAATAAGGCATTAAAATAGAAACTCAATTTTTTACTTTTCCATATTATAAACTAGCCATTTCTGTACCGACAAATCAATCTAATTAGTAAAATTAATCTAATCCAAAATCAAAGCTTCATTTTTTTCCATCTCAAGGGCAAAATCCAGAAGCAGTCGCCATGAAGTAACAAAAGTACTTATATTCTTTTCTTTGATCAAAATGGTCAATTTAGCAATCTCTGCCGCATACTGTATTAAAAATTTATTTATTTAGCGTATGGTACGTGTTAGCCAGGGATCATGGAGGTGGTTAGCTGCCTCTGTGAAAGGATTTTTTTCAGGCGGTGTTACCCCGGGACAGCTGAATGCCGGTAGGCATTCGGGGGAGGCTCCTTTCTTGTCCTTGTGTGGCTTATTCACTCATGGGAATCGAACCGCCTCAGCAGGCCGCAAGCCTGGCATCTTACCACGTGAGCCACCATGGCCCATATTAAAAATTAAATTGATAAGACATACATGGCATTATATGGTGTAATGCAGGGGTGTCAAACTCAAGGCCCTCATAATGTTTTCCTGCAAGTCTAGGGTTCTGATTTTTTCAGATTTACTAAGTGTTGATCCATTGCCTGCCATAGAAACTGACAACTGGTTTGTCACTAAACCTGTCATCATGGGCTGAAAACGAGTGACTAGCTCAAAGGCACCCAGATGATTGTCATGCCTAAGGACGGACCAGAATTCACAATCTCCTGGATTCCAGCCTGGTGCCTTAACTACTAGATCAAATGTCATTCTCTAATGCCCTGTAGATTTTACAGTCTAAGCCACGGGTGTCAAACTCGCTGCATCATGTTGCCGTCACGTGACGTTTTGTGACATTTTTTCCCATTTGTGCAGCTGGGGTGGGTGTGACCTGCATGTGATGCCTCCAGCCCATGGGCTGCCAGTTTGATACCCCTGGTTTAAGCCTTTGATATCAGACTGCATGAGGTCCCCTTAGGAGCAGGGTATCTAGATTTGTTAACTGAAACTAATAGTTTACTGTTGAGAGCTCCTGATGAATCTTGCTAATAATGTAACAGGATGTGGACAGCTGCTTTTTCTTTCACTAATAATATGACAGTCACTTTCAGTCTTCTCATACAAAAGATGGCTCATTCTTGATGTAAACACTATGTGTGTGCTGTCCATAGAGTTAATGGGATTTGGATAGTTAGTTAGGAATTGTGAGCTGTCCCCATAAGGGAATGCATTATGGTAAATGTAGTTAAGGTATCCTGGGAAATGTAGTCCATGTCATGTGGTCACATCTGTAATCCAGATTGATTGCTAAATTGACCCTTGGTGGGTCGGGGGAGGTCTCCCTCACTCTTGCCTGAAACCATCATACCATGCAGCCGCTTCAATCATCATGGGGTTGAGGCTTTATCTTCCTACACCACAATTCAGATATGCAAAGAATTGGACATTAAGAAGAACTTCATCATAAATGTGAGTTGACAGGATGCCTGATAAACCAATAAAAAAGACTTTGTATGGATGCTTTGTGGAGTTATCTATCTGCCTTTGTACAGTATTTGTACAGTATTTGTGCAGGACAGGCAGAATAGTAGGAAGATGTGGGTGACCATTCCAGTCTTAATGTGGCAGAAGTACTAGTAATTTTGCAACTAATTACCTACCTGGGTTTCACATAAAAATATTATTTCTTATAAGTAGGAAGCTTCCAACAGCTTTTGATTTGCCAGATTTTTATAGAAGATAAACTCTGTTCCTTTAATGTATTTGCAAAAAAAAAAAAGACGTTTGGCAAATGCAGCCTCTTGTTTCTCATTATTGCAGTGGGAGAAAAAGTTGCCCTTCCTCATCACCCAACTGTCAATCCAAATCTAGCAACAAGTAACTGTAATATTTTCTTTCCTGGGATAAGCCTAATAGCTGGCATTTTAGACAATGATGCATCACAAGGTAAAGGAAACAGTATCTGCACAAGCCATTCTGAAAACGCCCATTGGGGAGCTGCATAGCCAGCAAAACTGTATCTTGAAATTTTATGCACACAACATACTTAACCTTGAAATGTGTCAATGTAGATTTTAAGATAAAATAATATTTTAAGTTTATTTCACAATGTATACTACTAATAATATGTAAATGTTTTAATACTACTACTAAAACTCTCATGTCTGTTTGATTGTTTATAACCTACAACTGGCCAAAACAATGCATCCTAGGGCAACAAAACTATTAAATGAACTAACTTAAAAAAATGCATCCAAAATCCAGGACCCCATAACTCCTGTGGGATTGAAATTTGACAAAGTTGTGGCTGCTTCAGTGCTGCCATGGTCAGCCATGGTCATGTGACCCATTTCCAATGCTCCCTGCCAGCTTCCTTCAAAGAAATTCAATGGGAAAGCCAGCGGGAAATCAAAAGTCAAGATAGAAAACAGCTTTAGATGAATTTTAGTACAGATCTTGCCAAGGAACAGTCAGTGAGCAATTGTTTGAAGTTACAGTGACAATGAACAAGCAGTATTTATGACCAGTCTTCAGAGTTATGGCCATTAAAGAGTCCCCATGGTTACATGAGCAAAATTCTGGCACTTGGCAGCTCCTCCCCTAATCTCAATTTATGCTTCAACTCCCTCCACCGCCTATCTCCTTCCCAGCTCTGTCCTTTTGACTCTTCTGCCCTCAGCTGCCCCTGTTGCCCTAGGGAAGGTCTTGCAAGGCCAGCAGTTACCTTATGAAAGGCCAGGCTGGGTACACATCATCAAGAGCAGGCAGGGATATACAGTTGGGGGAGTTGAAGCAGAGGCAGCAGAAAACAGGACAGAAGTGTGAGGCCCAGGCCTGACGACTATAGCCAGGACTAATGTTAGACGCACTGGACAATTGTAGGAGTTAGAATTCATAACATTACAACAGAATTATGCCTGACAGGACCTGATTGGGGGGGGGGGGGAGCAGCACTGTACACAGAATAAGCAACCAAACAAAGAACAAAGCAATCTAAGCAATCTTTGGACATGGAAAGAGCAGTGAGGTGACCCAGTTTGAAACCAGACCAGTCCAGAAGCTTCTTGATTAGTTGTTTGGAGGGATTCCAATGAGCATGTGAGAGTGCTCAAACAAAATTTGGCTATACGGTATTATACCCAGTAAAATTAAAAGCACTTCCAGAAAGATCAGGATAGAAAACCAAAACCATGTAGGTCAATACTATTTATATCATAAAGTTGTAGTAACAGAACCTTGCAGATCTGAATGGCTTCCTCCCTTCCTTTATTTTCTTGTGGACTAGGGAGGGACTTTGTTGGAAGATGTTTATTCATGTTAATTTCTTGGCCAGACTTCAGGCCCTTTTATTTGACCATTGCTGTGGTAGTGACTTTTCCTCCTGTTCTTCAAAGGCATTTCCTCTGCTCTTTATTAGAGTGCTGTCTTGTCACTCAATATAATTTATTTGCTTGTCCTCAATCCCTAAGAGGTTAGCATCTTACTGAAAGGTGTGTGCACGTTCCCTATATTGACAAAAGCTACATTTCCAGCAGTCACAACATGCCTGGTTTTTGGCTATTCAGATGCCATTAAATGTAGCAAATGAGGAGAGGCAATTACCTCAATGGGTGACAAAAACTGAGTAACTATAGGTGAGACATGTATTTAATGAGAATAAAATGAATGTGGAGAACAATCCTGCTACTAGATGCACATCTAGAGAGCAGCACAGGGACAATATACAAAGTGAAAATGTATTTTAAAAAGTATAAACTTAAAATTTAAAATATATTGATTTGTAACTTATCTCACCACTGGATATCATGAAAAATATAGGTTCATTGGGGTTTTGTCCTTACACATTTCTGTATTTTCTATTTTAAATTCATTCCAATTGTGGATGTCTAAGTTATAATTGTGTCTTTTATTCCTGTAAGCTGCTGAGAAGTCTTTGGGATTGCAACAATGTATAAATGTGATAAATAAAAATCATTAATTGACAATGGTTATAATTTTTAGATGTATATGAAACCATTATTTTTTATATTAAAAGAAAACTTTTTTATAATGAAAAGATTAACAAGAAAAAGTTCTACTTTAAAAACATTTATCATTTCATTATAACTTTTGCTTGCCTAATCTACATTAAAAATCAAAAACAAAATCTTTCCTCACAAACTATTAACGTTATAAAAATACTTTTAATCATATAAACTTTCCCTCTTGGTGGATGGTAAGATTAATCTCAGTTTTTAAAAAAGTGTTGTTAAAACTTAATTTGCCTTTGAGCAACGATGCAGTCTGTTACCTTGACAGATGACAGTTCTATATGCATTTCACTAACATATTTTGCTTGCCATAACAAAAAAATTCTTGAACCAGTGCACAATTAAAAACAAAATGGAGCATTAGCAATCAGAAACAATATAACAAATTATAAAATTTAAGTGATCATTTAGAATAAAAATCATTGTAATCCTCTATAATATCAAACCAAAAGAAGCCTGAGGGAAAGAACAGAACAGGAACACTCTATTTGGAAACCGCTTCTGGACTTTGTGCTTTAGGTGGGAAAAAAATAAACTTTGATTTTGGGTTTTGCTGATTACATAAGTTTGCTATTATAGAAATGGCTAGAATATACTGTATAATTATGTAAATATAAAAAGTTGAAGTTGTATGTTATTACCTTATTCTACTGTGCCAAAGAGTTGGAAGTCAATGCTTTTGTTTTTCTTTTCCCTTTTATCCTAGACATTTTCCTCATTTCTTTCTTCTTCCCCCCTTCCCCATTATTCTCATTTTTCTTTATATTTCTATATTTTATATTTTGATAAACTAAAAAAAATTGTAACAAGATTTTAATAGGAATACAAAACACGTCACAGTTGAACCTTGTCTGAATACATGGGGACAGTGAAGCACCTGAGCATCATTACAAGCCAAGCCTGTCACTGAAGCTTGTTAGTACCAGGTGACAGTCTGCAGGTTATAGTACAGCCAACAAACCTTTCTCTAGTAATCTCAGATATCAGCTCTTTAACAGAACATGGATTCACCTGGTAATCTGACCCCATGACATGTTATTTAAGCCTTTATTGTGCAAGTCTCAGTAGGTGGCAGTATCTGGTCAATCTTTTGTAGACTCATAACCAAGAAATGTTACAGGCCAGTTTAAAAATACATCCTGAAAAGGAAGCAATGGCAAAGCACTTCCGTAACAACATAGTTAAGAAAAATACACAGGTATTTCTCACCAGCAGTTCAATTTCACTAGATCTGACCTTGAATATTTAAGCAGGTTTAAGGAGATGTCTTTTGTGTTATACAGAGCTATGCATGTTTTAGCAGCACATATATTACTGTTGGCTTTTAAGGGACAGTTGCTATCCATCCTCACAGAAAAGCAAGTGGGACATTGTATGTGTGTGTAAAAAAAAAACAAGAATCCTGAAAAGGCCAGATATTCACAGTTTAAAAAGGCGGGCAAAGAGAAAAACCAACAAACCACAGAGAGAGGAAAAGTAACTACTGTATAAAATGTCCCTCTGAGCCAAGCAGAGGCTACAAAAAAAGCGCGATCGATGCTTACACGAAGCCTAGTGGCATCGAGAGACCTTCAAGAAGTGTTTGGTGTTGTCAACAGGATAGTTGAAACTTCTGCGGCAGGAGGTCTATACAAGCATCTGCACGTCCAAGCCAGCATTGCTCCCTCCTCACGTACGCTCGTTTTGCCATCTCCAAAACAGATGGATTTAGGAAGGCCGCCCCGCCCAACATGGATTATTTCCCTCTCCCTATTTTATGACCGAAGCAGGCCAGCAATTGCCAAGTGGGCGCAGGTAACCGCCGCAGATGCAAAGGTGCGAGCAGCAGGTGCCTTCCGCATGGAGCATTTAGGAAGGGCCAACGCCACCTTCTCCCTCCCGGGACAATTCCAGGGGCAAAAGCCGAACGCGGGGCAGACTCAGGAAAAGGACACCTGTTGAAACCGCTTGCAAAGGCGGCGGGCGGCTCCGGCGCTGGAGGAAAACGTCGCGTTGAGCGAGGCAGCGCTGCGGGAGACGGCGCGAAAAATACGGCGAAAGCAGCGCCCTGCCTTGAGAGCCCGCCTCCTCCCGCGCCCCATCGGCGGCTTACCCAAGTGAGAAGCGCCCCGCATCGCTCGCCGGAGCCCACCTCGCCCATGGCTCCGCCGCTCGCAGGAGCTCTCTTCCAAGAGCCACGCCTCCTAGAGCGGCCCTCGCGCCCCGTCCTGACGTCACCGGCGTGCAATTAAGGCGGCGGGGGCGGGGTTGGAAACTGAAGGGGGGGGGAAGAAAACCTCCTCTGGAGACGCTCTAGGAGTCTAGGCAATTGTTATTCCATTCGGCGTAGAAGGAAGGCGCTTGGAAGCGGAGTTTGGCTCGGTGTCCTTTTTTAACTGTAAGAGGGCGGGGGGAGGGGGCTGCGCGCGCGCGCGCGCGCTCGAGGCCTCCTATGGGAGAAGCATCTTTGCGGTTGTGTAGTAAGAGATACGCTCTATACATGCTCAGAGGCATATTTTATTTCACGTATGTTCCCGTAGTACGGAAAACCATTGGTGAGGGTTGTTGTGGATGTCAGTGTGTTGGCCGCCTAGCCTTCTCATCAAAACCCTCAACAGATTCCCCCAGGCGCTCTGCACCAGTGACGCGTTAGCAATAAACCGATTCGCCACGGGGTACGTTAAAATGCCGAGGAATGAAGTCTGTGGAAAGGAGAAGCGGGAGTTGGATAGATTCAGGTAGGAGAGTCCCCACTAGGGGGTAGCATCATGCCTCGCTTTTGTGTTGCTCTGAGAAGGAATTAGATTTTGACTTGAGTGATGAGTCTCTAAGGAATGACTTCAGTGTCCCAACTAGCGTTTCATCTGATATAGGCAAATGAAAGTTGGCAGCAGAACTAAATACAGGCAGTCTTCAACTTACGACCACAGTTGAGCCCAAAAATGTATGTTGTTGAGTGAGGAAATTGTTAAGTAAAATTGTCAAAGATCTGGAAACAATTTCAGTGTTCAGCAAAGTCCCACCCAGCTCGCTGAGATCCGTTTGTCAACTGTCCCAACTTGGGTCAATTAGGAAAGGAAGACTCCTGGCCCATGATTAGCCAAAAGGTGGTCCTTGACTTACAACAGTTCATTTAGTGATCGTTCAAAGTTACAACAGTACTGAAAAAAGTGACTTAAGACAGTTTTTTCACACTTACAACCGCTGCAGCATCCCCATGATCATGTGATCCAAATTCAGACACTTGGCAACTGACTCGTATTTACGACGGTCGCAGTGTCTCAGGGGTCACATGATCCTCTTTTGCGACCTTCTGACAAGCAAAGTCAATGGGGGAAGCCAGATTCACTTAACCATTTTACTAACAACTGCCGTGATGCACTTAACCACTCTGGCAGAAAGGTCGTAAAATGGGGCAAAATCCGCTTAAAACATGTTTCACTTAGCAATGGAAAATTGTGATTGTAAGTCAAGGAAAACTCTACTTTAGTAAAGCCAAAGTGGTTACAGAAGAGGCAAAGCTGGCTCAGAGATTTCTGCGTGCAAAATATAGTTAATTTTCCTTTTGTCCTGGACAATCCCCCCTGGTTATCAGACAAGGTTCAATCAGGTGTTAACAAATGGTTTAAAAGCCCTCTCTTCATGCGCTCGCTGGCGGCTAGTGGTTCCCGTGGGATGGTACGTCTTGGGTTTGATTCCTGTAAGATCCCTCCCTGCCTTCCCAGCCCCAATGCTTCCCTCCCCCCGTTACTGATGTCAGGTTAGCAGCTTGCAGTGCGTAGCTCAGCGGAGCAGCCACCATGATGACGACGGTTGCCTTGCCATGAGCCCACTCACTTGCTGCAGTTCTCGAGATTCACTTTGAGGATGTCGTAGTTGGTGTTGAAGAGGGGGCTGCTGTCCCTGAGCTGGGCTTTCTGGATGCTGTAGACGTGCACACTGGCCACCGTGGAGAACTTGGACCTCATGGCTGGAAAGGAGGCAGAAGTCGCTTAAGGAAGGGGAAGGAGGGAGGTTTTCTCAAAACAAGTGGTGTAAACTGGGTGCCTTTGGGCCAGTCTCTCCCTCTCAGCCCAGCCCACCTCACAGGGTTGCTCTGGTGGGGATATGTACCGTATGTATGTATGTATAGGTAAAGGTAAAGGTTCCCTTCGCACATCCGTGCTAGTCGTTCTTGGCTCTAGGGGACGGTGTGCTCATCTCCGTTACAAAGCCAAAGAAGAGCCAGCGCTGTCCCAAGACGTCACCATGGTCATGTGGCCGGCATGGCTAAATGCCAAAGGCGCACTGAATGCTGTTTCCTTCCCACCAAAGTGGTCCCTATTTTTCTACTTGCATTTTTACGTGCTTTCAAACTGCCAGGTTGGCAGAAGCTGGGACAAGGAATGGGAGCTTGCTCCGTGACACGGCGTTAGGGATTCGAACCACCAAACTGCTGACCTTTCTGATCGACAAGCTCAGTGTCTTAGCCACTAAGCCACCGTGTCCCCTGTGTGTGTGTGTGTGTACACATACACATACACACACAGATACAAATGTATTTTTCAGAGGTGATTTTGAAGTTGTGTACAGACTTACCTTCTAATCCAGGGGTTGCCAACCTTTTGGACCTCAGGGACCACCAAACTCATAATTTTAAATCCCTCCCGCAGACCAGAGACCCTGGGAAAATCCCCAAAAAAGTCTGCAGGAAAATTCCCCACCCCATTTTCCTACCAATTGATCATTCTTTATTTGGGATCGCAGGATACCGTTTCCAGCTCCGTTCTCAGGGGAGGGGGGGGAGAGAGAGAGAGAGAGAGACTTTTGGCTTCATGCAAAGAAAGCAGCAGAAGCAGTTGAAGTCTTTCTTTCTCTCCCCCAAACTCCACCAGAATGGCACAGCCTCTTGGAGCAGGATGCCTTGCAGGATCCCAAAGACTCATTTCTGGCGGAGTTTGGGGGAGAGAAAGAAAGATTTTTGCTGCTTTCCTTGTGTGCAGCCAAAAGCAGAAGAAAGAAGCGGAAAAAAGCAGACCAGTAGCCAGGCCAGGTGCGTGGGGCGAGTGGGGTAAGTTCCCTCCCTCTGCCTTTCCCCCCTCACTACCTCATGTTCGCAATGCAAGCAATGCAACCCTTGTGTTCCCGTGGGCCATGTGGGTGGTGCAGCGTTGTGTTCCTGCGCAGCCTGGATTAATTGCTTTGGGGGTGGTTTGGGGGTGACATTTCTCTGCGGACCACCAAAATTTTCTCATGGACCACCAGTGGTCCCTGGCCCAGTGGTTGGCGACCACTGCTCTAGCTCACACATTACATTTATTTCACCCTCCCACCCCAGGCTCACAAGAAAGAACCTTAGTTGAGTAGTTAGCCACACTGATATTATCTTAATATTTTGTCTCTTATGTTGAAACTATTAAAGACAGCCTCAATGACTGTAAACAACTTGAAATTGTTACACATTACTGTAGTAGTTGGAAATCAGGGCAGCAACTAAGAACAAAGGGCCTTAACGATGGTATGTGACCACAGGCATTGCGACTTGTAAACCATCTTTTTGTAAACCATGTGAACCCAACCAAATATGAAATACCTAAACTATGCCTTAGCACAATATGTGAACCTCTACCTTCATCTCATTCTGTTCCTTAGCCGCTACCCAGTCCCGTGATTGTTATGTTTGTTTTAGTTTCCAAAGTCACACTCTTCCAACAATATCACTCTGTTGTAGAAGTTATCTCTTATAGTTTTTAGCTCCAATCCACAGAAGTGGACTATTTAGGGGTGCAGTGGTAGATATTTACTTAGCAAAATATCTTATTGAACATAACTAGATATATGTTGACATTATCATTATTATTATATTTTCATCCCATCTTTTTATGTATAATTCAATGCGGTGAACATACAGTATCTAATACTCCTTGCTTCTATTTTTCCCCACAACAACAATCATGTAAGGTGGGTTGGGTTGAGAGAGAATGACTGGCCCAACCTCACCCAACCAGCTTTCATGCCTAAGGGAGGCATCAGTTCAGAATCTCCTGGTTTCTAGGCCAGTACCTTAACCACTACACCGAACTGGCTCTCAAAGTCATATAGAACTGACATGTCTAGACATCTAAAAATCTTATAATTTAAGTAATAAGCATGGCAGACATCAACTTTAATCTTATTAGATTACTGTTAAATGTGGTACTTTTAAAAGAACATTCTTAAACCAGAAAAGCTCATAATTTTGAGTAAGTTATATATTTCTTTATGACATGTATGTAGAATCTTTCCTTTTATAATTCCTAAGAAATTTCAACCAGATGTTTTTGGTACCTCTGGGAATTCTGAGGATTGTGGTCCCAAAATATTTTGTTGATCGCCAGTTAGAGAAAGTTTTCAAGGTATGCAAAAATACGTTTAGTCTCAAACACCCTGTTACATAGGTGAAGCTAATGGTAGAAGCTTTTCGACAATGGCCCATCATGTTTCAGAATAGCGATTAGAATCTTTATTTTTTGCCTTTAAGCCCAACCCAATCTCTGTTGTGCCACGCTAACTACTTAGCAGCTTTTGGCAAATATATATCCCACTAGAGAGCAATGTGTTTTATTTTCTCATGTCCCCTGCTTCTTGTAACCACTGAGATGGAAAACAAACTCCATGTGGGAAAGTTCCCAGCAGGGTTATTTTGGCTACCTTAGGTGGAAACGTGTTATTGGCCTCTGTGACTCAGGAGCAACTCAGACACTGTCTGCTCCCAGCTTCCCTTCCTAGGACAGTCTAGTATTAACCCATATATTAGTTTTTCATATTTGTTCCAAATGATGTGTACATAAAAAAGAAGTATGTTCTTTTTGTGTTTTTACTGATTATGGGGTCATTTTCTGTCATTGCCATCACTGCTACCCCTATTACTCCATCTCTGTTTTGCAGATTATGCTGAACAGTTTATTATACTGATGATATTTTTAAATTTTTCTAATAAGCCACGTACTCCAGATCAGCTGTGACTGATCTGATTACCCACCTGATATGTTGGGATTAGAAATCCCATAATTCCTAGATAGTGTAATGAATTGCTTTGGCTGGATTGGCTGAGAATTCTGGGAATTGCAATACCTATTCATCTGGAAGGCAACCTAGGAATACAGCATAGAGCAGGGCTGTCAAACTTGCAGCCCACAGGCCAGATGCGTCATGCGCTGGCCATGGCCATGCCCAGTTTAGCGAAGGGAAAAGTTGCAGTACATCATGGGACG